ACCGACAGCAATAAAAAAACCTGATAAAGGCTCTAACCATTCTTTATTCTATCCTAAAACCAAAAAGAAATAGGTTTTGTCTATAAATACACCTCAAAGCTAAATGCCAGACAGACAACTAAATACAAAGCCCTCACGGGCAGGGCCCTCCTTACCATCTTGTCTTAAATTGTATTGTGACTGTAATGTCTTCCTTACATTGTAAAGCGCTGTGCAAACTATTGGCGCTATATAAATCCTGTATAATAAAAGGTGAAACAGGCAAGAATTTACTTGCTTGCTGAATGTGTCATTTGAGTCGGCCAATCTTATGATCTAGGAGCCCCCTGTCAGACATCACAGCCAGGTGACTTTACTTCTCTCTACAACAGTTAATGAATACTTCTTGATCAATGATTCAGTGCAACCTGTTGATTGGACAGTGAAAGGGTATCAAAATACTTGGGTCACCCCTGTGCTCATTCTGCTCTCTCCTGCTGCCAGTAAGCTACCAGTGCAAGATTGACAGCAGCTTAGAGCCAGATTGGCTTACAGTGCTGACTCTTCCTTGTTGCATTTTGAGTAATTTTATTCCTACAAGACATTGGAAAACCGCTTGTGCACCAGTTGAGGGTTGCCCATCAGTAGTGGATTCTACAAAGGGAAATATGAAAAATATTCATGTTTAGCGAAACAGGAAGTTCAACTCATAGCAATATCCTGCTGGTCAGCCGGACAAGAAGTCAAAGAAAATCTTCCTAATGGGGGACAGAGAATCTAATACAATTATATCCAAAACATTTAAAAGTTTGGTTTGAGCTTATTTTAGGTCAAACAATTACAATAACTGATTGTTTCCACATTTTAACAGCCACCATCTCATCCCATTCTGGCTTCCACTCATTCTCCTTATTCTCATGCCCTCCTCCCCCATTGTTCCCCGTGATGCCATCACTACAGACGCAATCTTTGAAAACATCACATCCATTAACCCCCTTTGCCTTAAAGCTGCTTAGAAACCATTTGACATATTTATGGAAACCAACACAATTAACATTACAATCACCTTTCCATCATTTGTCAAAATACGACGAAGTCAAGGCACGTGAATGCGCTCATTTGAAATTGGTGAGATCTCACCTGATGTACCGATGTACTCGAAGACGGGCAACATGTCGACCGAGAGACACACCGGCAAGGAATCATCTCACGCTAAACTGCAATTCATTATTTAAATGTGATTGCACAATTAGCAGGTGGGGACGCAGTCGCATCATACATCCTTCATGGCGGGTGACATGTCATTAAAAATAGCAACAAACAGGAATCGCTAACTTCTCACCTACACCCGCTTTATTGAAAAACATTAATTTAAGAAACATGACAAGAGAGAGCCAGTGATGTGTCTGAGACTTATATTAGATTTAATTAGCATGTATTTCCACATCTTGACATGCAAGCGAGAGGTGTTTATGAATAATTACTATGTTAAGATACAAAATTAACCCGTTCACTATTGGTGGGAGGCTGCAGAAAGCAGGTAGAAGTCTAGGAAACGTGGCTAACGAGGAAATCATTATAAACTAAGCTATATATATATCATTTGCATGTACAAAGCAAGGCTACTTTAACAGAAGGAGTAATTTCATCACATTGTATGGGGCTGATTTAAAATAAGTAAAGCACAGCCTATGGGGAGGGAAAAAGTTGGGGGTGTTGCTTATAACCACCAATCAGGTTTAAAGTAGTATTAAACTCTCAAACTTTTTTTAATAATAAATCCAGATCAAAAAAATGTAATTGCCCAGCATGGTATGTCTTTAAATTTTTGCACAATCACTTACAGTCATCATGTTTCCGAACAGTTGACTCCAACTCTCTCAGATTCCCTGAACTTCCTGTCCAGTACAAGATCACAAGGGACAGAGCGGTCTCCAGCAGCTGTTCATCTACTAACTTAGAGAAGGGAGGAGTGAGAAAGTAAGAAGGAAGGAGGAGCGGGGAGCAGGGGGGAGGGAAGTGTCTTGCCTTGCTGGGTCTGTGTGTGTTGTGGAGACACACACACACAGCTTACTAGCACACACAAGGACCTTGCAAGAGAACAAGCTATCAGGACCAGTGCTCAGGGGACCAGCTAATTCTGCAGGAAGCTAAAACTTTTAAACATTAAAGAACAGTAATATCTATTGTAAGTTATTTCATCAGCATTTTAAATATTTTAAACTCCTTTTGTCCTTAATATCACTTTCAGTCAATATACTTTGCTTCATTTTTAATAAACCAGAATCTGTAATTCCAATGGGACAAATGTGGGGTGAGGCATCATATGGTGGAGGGGGGATCAGATATGGAGGGGGGCACATGAGGAAGCACAGATGAGTGAGTATACCTTGCTAGTAGACAAGTGCAGCAGATAAAAATTAGTTTAGTTTCGGATTTCGTTTGTTTCGTTTTTGGAATTCGGATTCGTATTTCGGATCTGATTCGGAATTTGTGTCGGATTTGGAATTCGGATTCAGTTTTCGGAATTCAGATTCATCTGTGCTTCATCAGCTTCTTTTGGGGGGTCCTAGGTGACATTAGGGGTCTTGGAGACCCCTGATGTCTCCATAAAGAGGACCTGTCACATATTTTGCTATCACATAAGGGGGTTTTATTAGCCCCAGTATGTGATAGCAATAACGTTTAGTGGGGGGGAAAAAAAAGGAAAAAAAAATTAAGTCGTCCCCCCCCAAATTTAAAGTTACACATAAAAAAGAATAAAAATTTTTTTTTTAAAGTCCCCACCCATACATACACGCATGCAAACATGCGTCGGGGGCGCATACGTGCAAAAAAGACGATTGCGCCCATTACGCCGCACATGTTACATATCGCCACGAACGTCCGAGTGAGAGCAATACGTCTAGGGCCATCAATCACTGATAACACTAAACTGATGAGCGGTAGTTTTCTGTGATTTTGCGGGTGCACGCAATCTTAAAGCTTGACATGTTTGGTGTCTATTTACCCGACGTGACCCGATCTTTTATATTTTACCAAAAAACTGGGTAATAATAAATGTTTCCTAACATAATGTAAAAAAAACCTTTTTTTCCCAAAATTTTCTGTAATTTTTCCTAATTATAATAAAAAATAAAAACCCCAGTGGTGATTAAATACCACCAAAGGAAAGCTCTATCTGTCCCTAAAAAATGGTATAAAATTCATTTCAGTACAGCGTTGCATGACAGAATAAACGTCAGTCAAAATACTGCAGCGCTGAATACTGAAAAATGGCCTGGTCAGGAAGGGGGTCTAAACACCTGGTCTTGAAGTGGTTAAATGAAATGCTTCCGGATGATTTCGGATATGTTATATTTCGGAAATTCGGATGTTCCAAATCTGCAAATTTCCGAAATTTCATCCGAATTTTGATTCGGAACGAAAGGAATCGCACATGTCTACTTGTAAGGACCTGGGCTATCAGGAGATTGTCACTATGCCCTGAATAAATAAAGTGACATGGCCTCTAGGCAAACAGCCAGCTACACATTTCAAATACATATACATAAACAGTTTTACCTTCCAAAAGATTTGCAATTTTGTTCATTCAGTCTTGTGATCCCTGCAGACTACACTGTGGTTAAGCCATACAGCTTGGCCAAAGACCTGCCCCAGTCTGTGATTGGACAACAAAGGAGCAGCAGCACAATGATCAGGTCAAACCTCTGCCCTGTCCCTAATGTAATTATGTTGACACTAAAAAGTAGAGCCCTGCCTGACTAAAATATTGCCCCTTCCTCTCCCAATCAGAGAAATGCTTTCTAGCGGATGATTTGAGGATCAAATTTATATACATATTTATTGTCTAATTCTGAAGATAAAAAATTACTGTATGCACACTAGACATGTGCGATTTGTATAGTTCCTAATCAAAATTCGTATGAATTTTCTGAAATTTGGACATTCGGACACATCCGAATATCCCAATCCCAATGCATCCAAATGTATATTAATCCGAATTTCCATTTCGAAATTTCAGATCCTGAAATGACTTTTCTGGCCAATCAGATGTGTTTTTCGGTTTAATGCATCTAAATGGGACTGAACATAAGTTTTTGTTATGGCAACATGGGAGCCATAGTATATACATACAATACTAAAGCTGAGGCTCCCAGACCCAAATGGCATTCAGGATCTGAATTCCTGAATTGCCTTCGGGAGCTCCCGAAGGCCATTCGGGTCTGGGAGCCATATACATATATTTCTAAAGCTGAGGCTCTCAGACCTGAATGGCCTTCGGGAGCTCCCGAATGCAATTAGGAAATTCGGATCCCGAATGCCATTTGTGTCCGGGAGCCTCAGCTTTAATAATATATGTATATGGCTCCCAGACCCATATGTCTTTCGTGAGCTCCTGAATGCAATTTGGAAATTTGGATCCCGAATGCCATTCTGGTCTAGAAGATTCAGCTTTAGTATTAATATCTGTATATGTTTTGTTGTGGTATTCACAACGAATATTCGTAAACTTAACCAAAACTAACGAAAATTTGGATCTCACCCGCATCCGAAACTCGAACCAAATTGAATTTTGGACCGAATCCCGAAATAACTAAATATCCAAACCCAATTTCTCAGCAGTCTACATGTCGAATGCACAGTGCACCACATGATCCATTAGGCCTGGAATTCTGGTGTTATTTAACCCCTTCGTGACTGACGATGTACAGTGTACGTCGCCAGCATCGGGGCTGTTTAAACAGACTCCCGGTGACTTTTGCCGCCGGGACTCTGTTTAAACTTGTAAAGCCGACAGTCTGGCGACATGGATACAAAAAATGAAAAAAAGGCCTCAGTCATGAAGGGGTTAAAAAAAATATTTAAACTGCACCAAGTCAGTAAAGATGATAGTACATACTCACTGTGGGTGTCAAACAGCTATAGACGTAGTGATGAGACATATTTTTTTCATGTTATATACTTGCTTTATTGCAGTTTTATATCTCACACCATCAATTTGTCATCTTTCTGCACAGATCAAGCGTTTGGATGTCACCTGGCAATACTCTGCCAACGTGAAAACTCCACCGTTCCTCAATTTGTGCGAACGTGTATAGAAGCCGTGGAGAAGAGAGGTAGGTGTCAACAGTAGCGACAGGTCAGCTTTTACTGGCCAGTCCATTAACAGTCAGGTGCTAACACTACCTGGGGTTAGCACTATTTGGGTCCACTGCTGGCTTATATTATGCACTCTTCCATATGTAGTCTGCCTATTCTCCCTGTACCTACGAGTTTGGATACTTCTTTAGGTCTGAAGAAAACTCTGACAGGTCTCTAAACAAATCAAAAGGCCAGTTACCTGCAAAAGAAGAGTAGTATACTAGGGATGCGACAATACCATTTTTTCCAGACCGAGTACAGATACTTTTCCTCAAGTACTTGCCGATACCAATTACCAATACTTTTTTTTTAGTGTCATGTGAGAGTTTTTCGAAAACAATACAAACTAATGATTTTAGGACAGTTGTGGAGTGCCAGGGCCAGTCGAAGCTGCAACCGCTGTGACCCCAGTAGGTCTGCCACTGACTCCAAGCTGTAGGGGGACTACAAATCTCAGCTATATATTATACATCAATGCAGAACACCATCATCTATAGAGGAGTACAAATCTCAGCAATAAATTATACAGCAATGCAGAATGGCACCAGCTATAGAGGACTACAAATCCCAGCAATACATTATACAGCAATGCAGAATAATAGCATTAGCTATAGAGGAGTACAAATCCCAGCAATACAATATACAGCATCAAGAATAATACCATCAGTTATAGAGGATTACAAATCCCAGAAATACTTTATACAGCAATGCAAAATAATACCATTAGATATAGAGGAGTACAGATCCCAGCAATACATTATACAGCAATGCAGAATAATACCATCAGCTATAGAGGAGTACAAATCCCAGCAATGCATTATACAGCAATGCAGAATATTAATACTGTATTTGCCGGCATATAAGACGGGTTTTGAGACCTTAAAACATCCCCCGAAAATCGGGGGTCGTCTTATACTTCGGGTACATACGGAAGGATACGGTATACTGTATGTAGCTTAGCCTACATACAGTATACCGCGCTGAGCCAATCACGGCCTGTATTCATTAATACAAAGCCTGCCGTGATTGACTCAGCGGAAGATGGAGGACACAGCGGGGATCGTGGACAAGGTAAGAGACTGTAATCCCGAGTGTGGCTCAGGGGGTTACCGCTTCTGGTACTGAAAATTAACCCCGAGCCACACTCGGGAATACCACCATGGATGTTAGTGGGTGCATTTAAACATTATTTTGGGCTATACTCGTCTTATACGACGAGTATAGCCCAAAACCTATATTTTAACACAAAAAAGTGGGGGTTCGTCTTATACGCCGGCAAATACGGTATATGACTTTGCTACATACTCTATGCTGTCACTCTGCTCCAGGGTGCCGGCCAGATGTCTCCTGTGGAGGGTTTCAGGAGGGGGGCGAAGGGTGTGGGAGGGGAAGATGTGCGGGCCGGCTGAAGCGTTGTAAACAGCAAGCACGTGACCTAAGGCAGTCGCTTCAATTTGAAAATATAAAGCACCAGTTTTAGGTTTTAGGTCGAGGCATTCTCACAAATACGAGTGCATGTGAAAATGGCCAGTATCGGCACTGATAAAGATACTGATATCGGTATCAGTGCATCCCTATAGTATACTCAACTCTTCGGAATCCCATGTTTCCTACCTCCCCTTCATTCCAGTGTACTTGTCCTTCCTCTGACCCCTATGAAACAACGGGACTCAGCAGTGACATAGGAATTGAAGAAAGGAGCCACGGTAGGCAGCAAGGTATACAGGCATCACTCATAGAAGTACTGAATGTCAAATATACTTCAGAGGCTGCAGTGCTGAAATTAAAGAAAGGTAGAAGACATGGTCCACCAGAGAGTTGAGCATACCATATCTCCTCTTGTAATGAACTGGCCTTTTGATTTATTGATAGACCTGCCAAGATTTCCTTAAGTGGCACTCTGGAGAACCAGACTCTCATTCTACAAGTATGAGGTCACACCCTAAAATGCCTGCTATGCTACATGCAATGGGTGTCCTTTTAGGAATAATGCTAGTTTTGACAGGTTCTCTTTAATAAGATACAGCTACATCAATGCTGGACTAAAAGCTAGTTTGGTTGCCCCTGTAGTTGGTAGTTACAATGCGTGTGATGAGTAGGGCACCGATTTATGGCAAGATCTATCTCAGATAAATTCCTACGGTTGTTGAGAAGCAAATAAATTGCTAATGGTACATTATTAATAACTTGACCATAATTATTGTTACTAAACATGATTACACATTGCCATAAAAGAGGAATTAAAGTAGGAGAAGCATTTATTTACTGCAGAGCAAACATTTTTTAAGGAGTGCATGATGCAATTTATGATAAATGAAGCGTAGCAATGAAAGGATGGCATGCCCAGAAAATTGCTGTTTTTTTCGTTTTATCATAACATTTTTTAATATAGTTTTTGAACTGCTCGGCGGCAAGTGAAAGGCAACGCAGTCCTTTTAGCATTCATATAATAATATATTAGAGCTAATTTCACACCTATCAACACATAGTGGACACTAGAATGGAAGAATTTGATATTGCCCATATTTAAAGCCCCAATAAACTTTCAGTTTAAATCAGCTCAATACATTCCAGGTGCAATGAAACAAAAGGTGTTCAAAGTTTTCCAGTTTGTTTTTTCTTTGGCCACAGTCAGTAGAATTAGGGTTGTGACCTTTTCTTCAAGTGGAACCTGAACACTCTATCGCTGTGCGCACCAATTTCTTTTTTTTTGTGTGTGGAGAATGTAGAGGAGAGAGCGAGGAGAGGCCCCCCAAGGAGAAAGAGCAAAAAAAGACAGTCAGGGGAGGGAGTAAGGAGACCGGCTATAGAGGACTACAAATCTCAGCAATACCTTATAGAGCAATACAAAATAATATGAAGCTACATACTCTATGTTGTTCTGGGGTGGCGCCCTATTGTCTCCATGGTCTCAGGTGGCCTGTGTGGGTTCTCACCAGGGCTATGCAGGCTCTCAGGTGGACTCTGTAGGCTTTCAGGTGGGCTATGCAAGCTTTCAGGTGTACTCTGCAGGCTCCCAGGTGGGCTATGTGCACTCTTGGGTGGGCTATGCAGGCTTTCAGATGGTTGTCTTTGGGGTCTCAGGTGGGCTATGCGGGCTCTCAGATGGCTGTGTGGGGTTTGAGGTGGGCTATTTGGGCTTTCAGGAGTGCTGTGGGGTAAGTGCAGGGGTCCCACCTGGGGTCCGGAGGCAGGCAGCGTTCTGTCAGGAAGTAGCTGGAAGAGATGTGCCCGATGGTGCCTGGCACTCGTGGCTCACAGGAAGATGCAGCTGCCTAATGTCCTGCGCTTGCTGGGGACCTCAGGCAGCCACATCTGTAAAAATCGGCACTTAGTGTCGGCACTTAGTGTCTTGTGTCCGGGTGTCTAGCTGGCCTGAAACCCGGACACAAGACCCGGAAACCGGACTGTCCAGGTGAATCCCGGAGAGGTGGTAACCCTAAGTTTATTAGCCTATACCCTGGCAGGTGTTGAGAAGAAATTTTGTTTTCTGTGTGGAAGCAGCGGTCAATCTGCAGAGGTTTGATACACCTGTTGTTGAGCCAGACTTATTATAAAGACCCTGTGCACTTTGTATAGCCTAAAAGGCTTCCTATGATTTCAGGTGGAGTCAGGGCCGGATTTACTCAGCTGCCACCCCTCTGCCGCCCCGAGGCCGGGCCTTGTGGGAAATCCGGGCCTGGGTGGAGTGGAGCATGTTTGATTGACTGCAGATGTTAACAGCTTTCCAGAACTCTTATGGAAAGATGTTCGCAATTAACACAATTGTCAGGGCCAGGGTTGTCAAGCTATTATGGACCCTTAGAAAGGCAGAACCTAGACTCAACTTGAATCTAGCAGCCATTCTCCATGGGAATACATAGACTATTTACTTAGGATGGTGGCAACAGTTGCTTGCCATGGGCAAGGGAGAGATTTCCTCACCAGGATTCTGTAAAGACCAAGGTGGGGAAACTTGGCTGATGCTTTTCTTAGTGTAATAAGCTATAATCTAAGGTATATCATTATGTGTATTTAATAATGTATTCATTGTGGTGGACTGGATTCTTGGATGATCTTTGGGACTCATTTCAACTTATCTCCAGATGTTAAAACTGCTATAATAATCCAGAGAAGCCAATTAGACATCAGTTTAGCACATTCACATCTACCTATAGACCTTATGGGTTACTGCCTTTTGCAGATTACAAACTGCTCTTCTATATAGAATGAGCCTGGCTGACTTCTGACTTTTGGATGTCTGTTTGTTTTGTTGCAGTCATCATGCTGTTTGCTCCAAACATTGTAACTAAAAAACTTGGCACCAGCTCTTAGACTAGACACAGGGCATGTGAAGCTTGACTTCAGTATTTATGCAAGCTCCTGATGACATTTTTCGCTGCAGAGAAAGCGTGTGGAGGTGCCAGAACTGCCTGAGGAAGGTTAAGGTTCAGGAGAACTAACATTTTCCTGCTAGAGAACCTTGCTCAACAGACGGCTTGGACACCCCGGTGTCATGGGAAATAGTTGCTTTCTAGTTATGGGAATAAACTTTGTTTAAAAATAATATTTTGTGCGTTTGCAAGAGGATCTGATGTGAGAAAATTAAACCTTCTGGGGAGAAAGGGATTAAGTGGCAATTTTGGAAGAAGCTAATTGGAATTCAAGGGTTTGGTTAGTTCACGTTCACAGACTTGTCAAGATTCACAAATGTTTGGATCTATTCGTGGTCAGTTGTGAAAGAGAACTCAAAAAAACAAACAAACAAAACTTTGGGAATAAATATGCTAAATAAATATATACCTGTTTCTGAGCGGAAATGAAGGAATTGTTTGGAAGAAAATGTGATGCATCTGAATTTGGGGCAGGAATTGCCCGACCACCCAAACAAATTAGATATTTACAATTTGCAATTCAACCCAATTGTGGCCCCTCACCCATCCATGAAGTGTGTAAATCTCACACCTGTTGGGAACTACGATCAATAGCTAAAGCC